AAATAGTGTATCTTGCAACATGTTATCTAGACCGTCTATTTTCAAAATTTTTATATATTTATAGATCTTCTTGATTTTAACCATTTTTTGAGTTTAGAATTTTATAATTAGATATGAAAATAGTTTTTCAGATAATCCAAAGAATTTCTTACACCAAAATTATATGTTATAATAAAAGTTGGAGGTGCGCCTTAATTGGATTGTTTAAGATTGCAACCTTATAGAAATCATACCCAGTGAATAATCAAATTGTATAATCCCACGATAAAGACATAAATCCTAAAAAGGTGGAATCAATGAAAAATAATTAATTCTATAGTCCCCTAAGGATAAAGATATAAAACCTAAAAAGGTGCCAAAGGCCAATATAAAACCGGTGGTATTTTTCAACATGTGTGAAATTTAGATGGCAAAAATGAGATTTTTCTATGTTGTTCTAGAATTGAGAATTTAAGAGGTTATAATTTAAGAGATTATGCACCATACAACTACTGTATTTTATACAAGGAAAATCACAATTACTCCTAATCGTAAAATTTGAAACAAGAAGGTTGTCATTTATCCTACAACATCCCAAAAAAAATTACACAAATTTTGGGTGCAATCAACAGCACATACCTTGTGCTGATTTTACATCTGATTGTTAAGAGTAATTATTATTATTTCATACAAAAAATACATGGTCTTATTATTTTTCGGGTGAAGTTTGTCAACGGTGCCTACCTTATACTACACAAGTAAGGTGCACTTCTAAATGTTATCATAAGATGTGGTTTTTTTTGTTTTTTGAACGTTTGAAAATCCATGTTGAATCATAATTATGAAATCTAAAGTTTTAAAAACAAGTGGATATTGTACAAATCTATTAACACTTTAAAATCTTGAATATAGATGATGTGAAGAATTTGTCACAAGAAACGACATTTTTAAGATGCAAAATGCTTTTAATCTTTATATCTATACATCTTTTAAACATTGTTTATTGATGTGTGCACCTTACTTCTGTAATATAAAATTACAACCTTATATAAAAAATGTTATTATTTATTTATATTAATTTTAAACCTATTATTGCTTCTATGCTTAAACCTATAGTGGTTGGAGGTGATGTAGCAAGAGAGCTTATTATAGTTCTCTACCTTCCTACACCCTCCCTCTTTCTAAATGCTCTCTACTAATTTTAAACTCTCTCTCTCTTCCCTAATTTTAAACATATCACCCATCCTATGCATGCACCTACTCTCTCTCTCTCTAAACTCTCTCTCACCTAATTTTAAACATATCACTATTTTCTGAGCATGCTTATGGTGGTTGGGGATTGATGTAGCATGATAGCTTATTATATTTTTGTTTTAACTTTGAGCAGGAACATAATACCTTGCAGCAGCTTGATTTTACATCTAGGACCCGGTTTTTATGCTGCCAAGCCCGCATATGTAGAAATACGGGCCTCTTAATAAATTTTAAATTGAGATAGATTTAAAGACCTAATTTTTTAGTACATTTAATCTCTAACATGGAGATCATGAATATGAATAAAAAAATAATAATTCTAGTAAAAAAATATTTGGATCGTTAGTTTCTATAGCTTTTAGATGGAAAGATTGATGCTTTACACTTTCTGAACTGTATATGTAGAAATGTGTGATCCAACCCGCATGAAACAATTTTCATTACAACTAACAACTAAGAGTAATAGTGACATTTCTCTAACAATGATAGTCTTATTGTATCGAGAGTGACTTCTTACCTTGATAACCACTTGCTTAAAAATTCCAATCTCTTTTTTTTTTTTCTTTTTTTTTTTCTTTTTTTTTTTTTCTTTTTTTTTCTCTCTGAAAAATATAAAACTCGATTATTTGGATCTAAAATCATCGATTGGGCTTGAGATCGCGGTGTGGACAATCTGGGTTTCTTACTAGAGTCACTTACATTGAAATATTGTTTACCAACTTTCCTCCGATCTATATTACTGATCCAGCCATTCCTGATTGGCCCAAAGGGCAATTTAGCAATGGGCCAGGCGGTCCAGCTTGGCCCAGGCAGCCTGGGCCACAAAAATGTGGCATGTGGGCCAGGTATTGGTCGAGGCCAAAAGAGACCCAACCCAGCCCAACCCTACTACCCTATGTTTTACCCTTGAATGTTTTCTTTTTCTTCTCAAGAGTTATGAGGCCCAGCCCAACCTGGCCGTGCCTGAGCAAGGCCGTTTTGGCCCGATCTGACTTGGGTTGTGCTCAAGCTATTCCTAAAGCAACTAGGACAAGGCAGGACCCAGTCTAGCCACGGCCTGTTCCCAACCCTATTTTTCGATGCGATCTGGGTTTTCAAACACTACCAAAAACCTAGGGGTGGCAACGGGTCGAGTTGAGTGCTGCTGGACTCAGACCTAAAAATATAGTATGGGACCCATACCCTAATCCAAATAGTATTCAGGTCCAAAAATGGGACCCGACCCGCTGGGTCCAATTTTTAAACTCATATACCTGTATCGGGTCTACTCTCTAGTCCCGGGTCAGGTCGGGTCGAAGACTCCAGGCCCATTGCCAGGGCAAAACCCCTTCTCTCTCTCTCTCTGTAGCGTAAGAGCCTCAAGTCAAAATGACCACGCGTCTCACCTACCCGAAAGTTTCTGACTCATGAGTTGAGACTACAAAAAGCTTCTGACTTTTGAGTTGCGACTACATAAATCGGGTCAGAGAATCTCCGAGGCCAATAGCATGCATCCCCCCTCTCTCTCTCTCTCTCTCTCTGTAGAAACCATCTTAACAAGGTGATAATACCATGAAGACACTTTCTTTCCTTCATTTTATTTGTAAAACTCGCATTGCTTCACAGGGAGAGATCATTACCAAGAAGCAATAAATTTACCACAACTAACATATACTGAAAGCCTTCGAAAACAAACAATAATATGACAGATGACAAAAATTCAAAGAACAAAGCCACATTTTATGTACACCTTCATACGCATTGCATTCTTCATGCCCTCCATCTCTCACTACAAATGGTAGAAAATAAAATATAAGGAAAAGTAGAGAGAGAGGGAGAAAGTAATAGAGTTCAGAGAGAGGCAACCAACTTTGAAACATCTAGAGAGAGAAGGAAGGGAAACCAGCTTACTGACAGGAGATATAGAGAATGAGAGACTGGGTTGAGAACCACCTTCAGGGAACAGGAATAGAGAGAGAGAAGAAGGCAAGAACCAACTTCAGGTAAACAGATTTTAGAGAGAGAGAGAGAGAGGGGAGCAGGCAAGTTGAGCCAAACTGATAGAAGATCAGATAGACAAAGAGTGAGAGAGAGAGGCATGGGCTAAATTGAGGGACACCAAGTTTAGCAAATGGGCAATGGAGTTCCATCCCATTCCTTGACACAGTCGAGAAGAGGCTCGATGATCCGGCCACCCCGGATTGCCTCAAAGACCTTGTCGAACTCCTCGCCAGGGGACCTCTGTCTCTCTCCACTGAGCAGCTCAGTCCCAAGCACGCTCCTCACAAACTTGTAAATGGGGTAGGACCTGCACTCCTTAATCCTCTTCGGAATAGCAGAGTCACCTTTCTCTACACTTGCTCTGGCCGTCTCCACCTCCTTAGGCAAAATGGCCTTCAATTCTTGCTCAAAGAGCCCAATTCTCTCAAAAATTGAGCTCCCCATCTCCTTCTCCTTCTCTCCACTGGCCAGAGCATGCTCGACCAAGACGCCCCGAAGCTTCTGCATCAGTGGATAGTTCGAGCTGCAGGGGTCGTCGGCGTAGGCGAAAACGTATTCTCTTTCTACCACATTGAGCAGATCCTTCTCACAGAACCTAGAGGGAAGGAGTTCCCCATTCTCTCTCATGGTCAGGACCTTCTTCACCGCCTGTCCAACTGCCAACTTCACTGCCGCCTTCAAATTCTCCTCCAACTGCCTCAAATCAATGGCCTGGCAAAGAGCACTGATAAAAGTAGCAGACATCAGCTGCAAAATCTCGATCGCCTCGGCCGTCTTCCTCGACGAGATCAAACCTAGAGAATTCACATCTTGGTTGTGCTGCTCTGCGCTCTGGACATGGTTGGTCACAGGGTTGGCCAGGAATTGGAGCTCTGATGTGTAAGAAGCCATGGCTATCTCAGCTCCTTTGAAGCCATAGTCCAAGCTCGGATTCCGCCCCCCACTGAGATTTGATGGCAACCCATTGTTGTAAAAATCATTGACGAGCTCCGAGAACTGAGCAAACATGAGCTTTCCAATGGCTGCCAAAGCCAGCCTGGTGTTATCCATTGAAACCCCAATTGGGGTGCCCTGGAAATTCCCACCATGTAGAGCCTTGTTCCGAGAAACGTCGATGATGGGGTTATCGTTAACCGAATTGATCTCCCTCTCGATCGATTTCGTGGCGGCTCGGATAACTTCGATTTGGGGTCCGAGCCATTGAGGAGAGGTCCTCAGCGCATACCTGTCCTGCTTGGGCTTTTGCAGAGGGTCAAATTCATGGATCCTAGCTGCTTCTTTCATGTAATAACTCCCAGCTAAAATGTGCTCCATCAAAGCTGCAGCTTCAATTTGGCCAGGGTGGTGCTTGAGCTTATGGGTCAGGTGATCGGTGAACTCGAGTTTCCCCTGCATAACCTCGCAAAAGATCGCAGATAAAACCTCTGCTAAAATGGCGAGGATGTTGGCGTCGAACAGCACCGTCGATGCCAATCCGGACCCAACTGCTGTTCCATTGACGAGCGCCAAGCCCTCTTTCGGTTGCAGCTCGAAAGGCCCCGACTGAACCCCGGCCAAATTGAGTGCCTCCTCCGAGCTCATCACCTGACCATTAGGCCCAATTGCCTTAGCATTCGGCCTTCCAGTTAAAAGCCCGGCGATATAAGATAGCGGGACAAGATCGCCGGAAGCTGTTATGGTCCCCCTCAATGGTAAACACGGCGAAATCCCCTTGTTTAGCAGAGCAGCAATGGCTTCCAAAATCTCGAACCGAATACCTGAAAAACCCTGTAACAGGGTGTTCACCCTGACCAGCATGGCGGCACGGGTGGTCGACCGGGGGAGGGTAAGATCCGAATTGTCCCCAAAGATCCCTGCGTTCAGGAATCTGATGAGCTCCTTTTGGAGGGCTTCACCATTCCGTGTCCTTCGATGAGAGGTCGCACCAAAACCAGTGGTGACTCCATAGCTATCAGTGCCTTTGGTCATGGAATCCATGACCCAGTTCGAGCTCGCTTGGACACGGGGCCGAGCTTCATGACTGAGCTCGACCGACACATCATGCTCCTTCCGAGCCACTGCAGCGACTTTGGCGATAGAGAGAGAGTGACCCTCGAGCTTTACCAATGGCTTCTGGAACTCCGATACCATCTTCTTAACTTCTTCAAGGTGGCTCCCTTTGAAGGTCTCGGCCATGGCAGTCCAGTTGAGGGGGTCGGACACGCAGAGGCCGTCCAGCTTGCCATTGCTGTGGGATTGGTGGGCTGAGAATTCCATGGTTTTTCTAGAGAGAAATGTTTAATCTTTAGAGAAAGAGAGGGGTCAAGAGACGAAGAGGTGAAGTTGGGACAGAGTGAGAACAGGAGCTACAGACAGGTGTGTATGTGAAGGCGAGGAGAAGTGTAACGCTGGTAGAGAAAGAAAATATTTTAGAGAGAGAGACAGAGCCTCACCAGTAGTTTTCAGAGAAGCAGGTTAAAAATAAGAGAACACAACAATAAGTTCAGAGAGAGAAAGAACTCACAAGTACTCAGTCTCTGTTTCTCTCTCCTCCTCTGCTTTCTCAAAAGAAATATCACTAAATCTCATGAAACTCAGAGCTCAATACAGAGACAGATCACAAAGCAACAAAACCCACAAAGGAAAAGCAATGGAAGCGCCTGTTTAGAAAGAGAGAGAGAGAGTGAGTGTGGTTGTAGAGAGAGAACGCTTCAGTTTCTCTCTTTCCCTCTCTAGAAAATCACAGGTAAATACGAAGTGCTCGAGTTTCCTGAGACTCACCAGAGAAGTCGGTGTTTAAATAGACCCGTGGAATCGTAGCCTTGGGTGGCCTTATACTGGTTAGTTGGAAAATAATCTCGACCGTGTACTCGCTTTCATCGGACGGATTTAATTTACCCATGTGGTAACCGGTGGACGCGTGATCGGAACTTACGGTCCTGCCATCGACCGCATTAGTGGTAGTTGGTGGCCACTCCTAAGCGTGACATCATCACTCGGCGAAATTGAACGAAATTTCACCAAAATAATACGGCTGTCCATATGGGAAATTTCTCGGAGATATAAATTTATTTATTTAATATTTTAAATATGTGTGTGGTTTGTCTATAGCCAAGGCTCTAAACAATCAAATTAGAGTCCACCTGCAAATAGGATCAAAAAATATAATTTTAATGTTAAAAACTTTTATGATAGTTTTAAATTATATCTTCATTTTTAATTATAAAATTTAAAGCTTAAAAAATAGTGTAGATCAAACAGATCTATAAAAACTTGAAAATATTAACTTGAAAATATTGAAAATTGACGGTCAAATTGCAATATGTATTATTTCTAGAATATGAAAACCATTTTTTTCTCGTTTCCATACATCTTGATTCGAGATGGTCAATTTGATGATATTTGGGCATCAAAACAACCTCTGCTAGTGCAAGTTTTGAGCTGGGCTCTAATTTGATTGTATAAAGCCTATAAACTTTTTCCTTAAAATATTGATTTGGGATTCTTTTTTTTTTTCTTTTTTTTGTACAAGAAGTTTATTTATTTATTTAATATTTTAAGTAGGAAAATTGTTTCATGCGGGTTGGACCACATGACTACATATGCGGCCAAAAAAATGTAAAGCATCCATCTAAAGGATGGATGTAAGTAGGTGTTTTATCTAAAAATGATGGAAACTAACTGTCCAAATGTTTTCTTACTAGAATTATTATTTTTAGTTTTAAAACTTTATTTATTTTTTCATATTCATGATAGAATAATGATCATACAAGACCCTCCTACACCCATGTGTGTAAGATCTCATAGGATCATCATTAAATTTGGCACAGATCTCTAAAAACGTTATCACATAAGTGTGAGACTTGACTTATCTAAATATCTATGTCAAATTTAATGGTGATCATTTAGGGTCCTATACACATGGGTGTGGGAGGGTCTCATAGGATTATTACTCTTCATGATATCCATGTTAGAGATTATATGTCCTTAACAATTAAGTCTTAAAATCCATCACAAAAATGGATTTATTAAGAGGCTCGCATTTTTACATATGCGGGCTTCGGCTGCATAAAAACCGGGTCCTTTTAAGTATTAATTTGAGATTATATAACTATTTATTTTTAGTACAAGAGGTCACAAACCACTTAAGTTATTAGATTTGAAATCCAATAAATGAAATTGTATCACAACATTTGAAAAATTTTGGATTTTACGTTCAAATAATAACACATCTTCAACCACATGATTTTAAATCTAATGGTCAAATCTAATGGTCAAATAATGTTTGAGACATCTTTGTATAAAAAATAAATAATTTTCTTATATACATTTCTTTTTGTCTCTCAGCCCCGACTTTCGATCGATTGATTTGATGGTGATGACACTTGTATCCATATAAAATGTTTTATATGATCAAATGGACCATCAACAAACATATTTCCACCGATGTTTATGGTGAAAAATACAAAAAAAACAATTTGGTTGGTAAATCTGTTCCCCTGGTCTACATATATCGTACTTGAATGCTTGAAAATGATATTTTATTCTTTTAAGATAACGAATAAATATTTATGGCAAATGACAAATAAATTTTTGGGACTAGAAATTCTGGTCATTGGGGACGAAATAACCGAAATATAGGTAATTTCGGCGAAACATTTAGGCAGTTATAGAGGATTCAGTGTGTCGTGTGTGAAATTTATTACTAGGAAACCATAATTATCCTAGCCATGCGGCCTGCGAAAAATTTGAAAATGGCCGTAGTTAATACAATGAAAATCTTGGTAAAGGCACCCATCTCATGCATTAAATTGAAATAAATCCAGTGTCCTTAATTTAGTAACTGAAAAATACATGTACTCATATTTAATTTTTGGGTCATATACCACAATTTTTTGTGTAAAACGTCTTTCGGGATCGGATGAGTGGCCAATGACTCACCGACACGTGTTAAGTGCATCATGTAACGCACCTTCGGGCCACCAACTAATAAGGTTTTTAAGTGGTAATAAATCTACTCGATCAATATTATTTTTAAACTTCAAATTTTATAATCAAATATTAAAATAAATTTTCACTCCATCACAAAAATTTCGAATATTGAAACAATATCTTTTCGATACTATTTAAAGATGCGATTTACACAAAAATTTCGAATATTGAAACAATATCTTTTCGATACTATTTAAAGATGCGATTTACGCAAAAATTTCGAATATTGAAACAATATCTTTTCGATACTATTTAAAGATGCCATTTACTTTGATTGTATAGGGTCTCCGTTTCATACAAGTCACATTTCTAAAAAGGTGCGGTATGTATAGAGCCGAGGCTCTAAACAATCAAATTAGAGCCTACCTTCAAATAGCGTCGAAAAATATGATTTTAATACTGAAAAGTTTTGTGATAGCCTTAAATTATATTTTGATTTTTGGTTATAAAATTTAAAACTTCAAAAATAATGTAGATTGAGCAGATCTATGAAAACTTAAAAATCTTAAAAACTAACAGTTGAAAAATACGTTACAAGATGCATTTTTAAAACTTGAAATTCATTTTTTTCTCATGTCCATGCATCTTGATGTCGAAATAATCAATTTGATGATATTTAGGCATCAAAACGACCTCTTTTAATGAAAGTTTTGAGGTAGGCTCTAATTTGATTAATAAGTGAGATAAGTCTCTCTCCTGTTTTATTTTGTGCACCCGTGCATCTCTGCCCCCCCTCTCTCCACCAGTCCATGCGTTTGATTTTGGTCCTTACATGCATTTTAGCATGCAAATCTCTCTCTGTCTCTCTCAAACCTGTGTTGTTTGGTTTTGAGAATCTGTATTTGCATTTACCCATACAAATTCTCTCTCTCTCTCTCTCTCTCGGATTAGAAGCCTTTTTATCATCCAAATCCAAAAGTCAAATGAAAAAGTTTATATAAGATTGCAACTTTATACTCAAGGGAGTGAGTGTTTCAAAGTATATTATCAAAAAAAAAAAAAGAGTTTCAAAGATAGAATACGTTTCACTTGATCATTTTGATGTCGAGATGCATGGATATAAAGAAAAAATGCTCCAGGTTCTAAAAATAGTGAATCTTTTAACAAATTATTTGAACCTTTTATTTTAAAGATTTTTATGTGTTGATAGATCTACTCTTTCTATACCATTTTTAGAACTCTAAATTTCTCGATTAAGGTTGCACATAAATTTTCAAGTCTATTAAGAAGAGAAGTTAAGATTCATTTCTCTCATCTCCATTTGGGAAAAGACTTGAAAAATGGTGTGGGTCCATTGGACACAAACAAGTCAAATTTGTTGAGCAAACCCTAATTCTTCCCATGTTGAGGTGGCTACCAAACCGATATGTTAGCTAGCCCAGCACGAGCCACCAACTCCCTCTCTTGTGGCCAGGACTTGGTCTCTTGTGGGCGTGGTAGGTAAGCCAAAGCTTAGACCAAGGGTTGGAAGGGCCCATTTATTTGACCACTAAAACTTCAAATTGAATGAGTGGGTTGCCCAATTTGGTAAGAGATGGAGTAGAAAAATGTCATCCACCTCTCTCTCTCTCTCTCTCTCTCTCTCTCTCTACTATATATAGTATATAGTATAAAGTAAGTACGTACTACTACTACACGTACTACGACTACTAGTACGTCGTACGTCTCGTACTACTACTACTAACTA